GAGAGAGAGAGAGAGAGAGAGAAAATGGAGTCCGTTTTGTGTTAGCCAACACTCGTAGGAATGCTTGGCCTGTAGTGTGGTTGATACACAAAATGACATTCCATTGAAGAAAACTGATTTCCCTTTCTTAGGAGATATCAATTGCAATAGCTGTTTGTTCAGGGGTGGGAGTTTGTGTCCACTTCAAAGTGAGCAATTTTTTTTAAGTTTTATTTATTTATTTCTTGTATACAAGTGCTCTATCTGCATGTACAGCTGCACAGCAGAAGAGGGCATCAGATCTCACTACAGATGGTTGTGAGCCACCATGTGGTTGCTGGGAATTGAACTCAGGACCTCTGGAAGAGTAGTCAGTGCTCTTAACCGCTGAGCCATTTCTCCAGCCCACAAATTTTTGATATATTAAAATTTTAATATTGGCCGGGCGGTGGTGGCGCACGCCTTTAATCCCAGCACTCGGGAGGCAGAGCCAGGTGGATCTCTGTGAGTTCGAGGCCAGCCTGCTCTACAGAGTGAGTTCTAGGAAAGGCACAAAGCTACGCAGAAAAACCCTGTCTCGGAAAAAATAAACCAAAAGAAAAAAAAATTAACATTGACTTACCATGAAAGAGCCTCCGATTCGGGATTAGATAGAAGTATGGTCTGTAATAATTTGATATGAATATCTTCTTATCTTTGGCTTCATTCTTTTTCAAGAATAATTATTTGAGATTTTGTTACTAAGATTTTTTTTTTAAGCATTCCCTTGTATGTGTGTTTATGTGGGATGCAAGTATGCCACAGCCTGTCAGTGGAGGTCACGACAACTTGTGGGAGTCTCTCCTCGCCTCTGTTGTGTTGATCCTGGCAGTCCAACTCAGGTTATTAGGTTTGGATGGAAGAGCCTGTTGTACACGCAGGTCAGAAAAGCGTGTTGAATCCCCTGGAACTAGAGATCAAGATAGCTGAGAAGCACCTTGAGGGTGCTGGGAACAGAACTTAGGTCCTCTGGGAGAGCAGGCAGTGCTCTTAACAGCTGAGCCATCTTTCCATCCCAGAGTTGTTAACTTTATGTTTATGAGTGTTTGTCTGCATGTATGTGCACTGCATGTGTGCCTGAGGCCAAGGAGGCAAGAGAAGGCACTGGGTCACCTGAAACTGGAGTTATTATGGACAGTTTTAAGTCACCATATGGCAGTGGTTCTCAGCCTGTGGGTCTCTAACCCCACAGGGTCACATATCAGATTTTACAGTATGATCCATAGCAGTAGCAAAATTACAGTTGGGAAGTAGCAATGAAAATAACTTTACGGTTGGGGCCACCACAGCATGAGGAACTGTACGAAAGGGTGTTATTGTCCAATGTGTTACGAAAAGTGTGTTAGGAAGGTTGAGAGCCACTGGCTTAGGCTCAGTTTGCACTGCCTCCTCAGTGCTGGGAGGCTTGCATCACCGTGCCCAGCAAAAATTACTGTTTTTCAATAGTTACATTTAAACCACTTTTTGGTAGAATATACCATAGATGGTGGTTGGTGTTTGTTTTGAGACAAGGTCTCACTATGTAGCCTTGGCTGGCCTGGAACTCACTATGTAGATCAGGTTGGCCTGGAACTCATAGAGATCTGCCTACTTTTGCTTTACCAGAGTATTTTGTAGCAGTTTTATTGGGGTGTAACTCACACCGTAAGCTTAACTTACTTAATGTGCTGCTCAGCCCGTTTTACTGTTTTCTTACTTTATCACCCGTCACTATTGCAGAGCGTTCATATTGCTGCGGGATAGAGACTGGTTCTCTTTCGGCAGTCACTTCGCATTCTCCCTTTCTCAGCAACAGAGAGCTCAGACACCTGCTGAGTGTTTGGTGACTGACTTCTTTCTCTGAGCATCGTATGTAAGGCTCATCTGTGCTGTCACCTGTGTCCACACTTCATTCCTCTTCATTGACCCACAGCCAGTCCATTTTGTTATCACCTTTCTTTCCTTATCCCTGAGTTGGTGGACATTTGGGTTGTTTCTCTTTTTTGGCTATAATTCGTCTTCTACTATGAACATTGTCAGTAAGCTTTTGTGAAGGTTTATTTTCATTTATCTTAATGACATTTCTTGGTCATATAGTAACTATATTTTTAGAAATTGCCATACTGTTTTCTAAAGCAGCTATACTGTTATACAATTCCATGAAGTTTCTAGTTTTTCTGTATCCTTACCACAAAAATGTTCTTAGGGGTCTTTTTGGTTTTTAACTGTCTTGGTGGATGTGAAGCTGGCACCATGTTACTGCTTTGATTCCCATTACCCTAATAGCTGGTGATGCTGAGCATCCTTTCATGTGCTCTCTGCCTTCTGTATACTCAGCACATGGAGTTCTGGGTTTTCGAGAGTCGTGTGGTTGTAGTGAACACTTACTTAGGCAATGGTCATTTTATCGTAGCCCTCCTGTGCTGGGCCATGGCACTCTCTCCTGGTGCCGGCTAGCTTTGTGATGTACTAAAGGAGGTTGAGTTATATAGGATGAAACATTTTTGTCACCGCAAAGAACCCTTAACTCATTAAGCCATGGCTCCTCCTTTTACTCTCCCTTGGCCCACAGTGGCTACTAGTCTACCCTTTGACTCTAGATTGACTGTTCTCGGGATCTGCTGAAATAGGACTGTGCAGTGTATGTACTCCCTCTTGTCTGGCCTTTTTCCCTTAGCACGTTTTCAAGATTGGTTCACATTGTAGCAATTATGACCACTTAATTCCTTTTGACTGACTTGTAGTCCATTATGCTGGCTACGGCACATTTGGTTTTGCCATCATCTATTGGTGATTACTTGTGTTGCGTGTTTGTTATTTGTTTTGAGATGGGGTGTTGTTATGTAGCTTCGGCAGGTTTCACACTTGATGATTCTTCTGCCTCAGCTTTCTGAGTGTTAGAATTATGGGCATATACTACCACACCAGCCGTTAGCATATTTTTTTTAATGCCAGTACTACAATACGTTTTGTTACGTTTTGGTGACAGGGTCTCACTAGGTTTCCCAGGCTTAAGCTTAATATTGAGCCTCCTAAGTCCAGGATTATAGGTGTGTGCCACTGTGCCCAACACTGAGAGACCTTTGACCCTGTCCATCCAACCTGCTGAGCTCCAGCTAGCCATGGTCTTGTTGGAAGTGCTAACTGACCTGAAGTTATGTAGCAGGTAAATGGCAGACTCTCCACTGCATTTTTCTGCTTTGAAATCATACTCTTTGCTGAGAATAAAACATCCCTATACAAATAACTGTTGATCATGTCCTTAGTTAATACAGTTAATTCTTAAGGTTATCTGAAGGTTATATTCAGTGAAGGATAGTTATGCATGCCCATTCTTTTTACATCACAGTTAAAAATCAACCTAAAATGTAGTTTAAACTCTGTCAACCTAGGTGTCCAACAACAGAGGAATAGATAAATAAAAAGTGATTTTTATATACAATGGAGGTTTTGTTTTCAGGCATAAAGAGTGTTTAAGTTTTTTGTAGGGACAGTGAATGAAACTGGAAGTAGTCATATCAAGTGAATGAAATCAGTCATAGAAAGACAAAATTTGTATGTTTCCTCTCACCTCTGATTATTGTGTAAGTGTATAAACTCATGCACACAGAATGACATGGAAGTGAAAGTGAAATTGTCTGTGTGAACAAAGGAACTGATGGAAGGGGAGAGGTAGGGCAGGGTGTGCTCAGTATATAATACATACTGGATGAACAGGTAAAATAAATAAAAAAGGAAACCTAAAATCCTGGTTATAGCTCAGTTAAGAGCCAGGGATAACCTCTATACAAGAGTTTTGTCATTTTGGTCCCTAGAGAGGGGCCATATGCATTTTCTATAGATCAGTGTAACTCTAGTGTTTTTACCCAAGATTCCCAGTGAAGTATTTGTTGAGTGAATGAATGAAAGAACTGTATCTCATGTTCTGTTCTCCCATGTGTCCTAGCACCACTCAGCTTTTCTTAATCTAGCCGGTTTGAATGGGCACAAACAGTAAGTTCTCATTGTCTGATGTTTGTGTTTACTAGCATGGTTTCCATTGATGTTCCCCTTTCAGTGTGGTGGCTGTTGTCTGATCTGTGTTCTGCACATGATAAACGGAGGCACAAAAATACGTTCTTCACGTTATGTGGAAGAAACTCAAGCCATAAAGTCTTCTTGATTTATTTATTTATTGGCTTTTTTAAAAAGTATGTATGAGTGTTTTGCCTGCATGTATGTATATATGTACCACATGTGTGCTCAAGAGGTCACAAGAGGACATCAGATCCTCTGGAACTGGAGCTATAGCTAGTTAGGAGCTGCCATGTGGGTGCTGGGAATCGAACCCAGGTCCTCCTATAGAAGATCTCTTAACTCTGAACCATCTTTCAGGGTCTTTGATGAATGTATGAAACAGCTCTGCTCTGCAAAAGTCATCTTAATTATCTTAAACTTCCTAATACTAATAAAGTGTATTTGATACCTTGATAGATGTAATATTTCAGGTATGGTTCCATTAAAGTATCTGCTAGCCCTAAATTTATATTTGCTTATTTTTAGAGTTTGATGTTTATTCTTGAAGTTAATGTATGTCTAACTAAATTTTATTCTACCCATCACCCGCATATTCTCCCCACCATTATTTGTTAATCTTTCAAAATAATTTTTTATTACATTTCTGTATTTGTTGGGGTGGGCATGTGCCTCCCATGGCCAGTGTGTGGAGGTTAGGGTACAACTTTCCAGAGTTGGTTTTCTCTCTTGGGATCAGATTCAGGTGGTCAGTTCAATCTATCATGGCAGATGCCTTTACCTGCAGAGCCATTTGGATAATGTGTGTGTGTGTGTGTGTGTGTGTGTGTGTGTGTGTGTGTGTGACTGTTTTCAAACATCAGTCATTTTAATTTTTCCAAGCGTTGGGAATTTTCTTAGTTGAGCAAATCCATCTTTAGTCCCGTGCCGGCATTAGCGGTGAGATGCACTGTCTCTGTGACCTTAGCAGGTGTCTCTTTCCCTTCCAGGTGTCGACAGCTCTTCCACCACAAGCAGCGCCTCACCCTTGCCTAACAGCTACGACGCCCTGGAAGGAGGCAGCTACCCAGGTGACTTGCGTAGAGTTTGCACTGTTCACTGAAGTCACTGGCCACTAGTCACTTTAGAGGTGACTGTGATCGTATCAAAAGCAGACTGCATTTTTTTTTTTTTTTTTTTTTTGGTTTTTCGAGACAGGGTTTCTCCGTGTAGCTTTGCGCCTTTCCTGGAACTCACTTGGTAGCCCAGGCTGGCCTCGAACTCACAGAGATCCGCCTGGCTCTGCCTCCCGAGTGCTGGGATTAAAGGCGTGCGCCACCACCGCCCGGCTAGCAGACTGCATTTTTAACAGAAAAAGTGGGACATTTTCCTGCATCTTTCAGCCTTAATACTGTCGTATGTCAGCAATGCACGTTGTTTCTGGTGGCCTGAAGAAATTTGTTGTTTTGGTTTTTTCTTTTTTCTTTCTAAAAAAAAAATTATTTACTAGGGAGCACCGTTCTTCTTTCCCTTTCTTTTAAAAACTGGCTCCTTAAATTGTGCTGTTTTTGTTGGTATGCATAGGTCTTGAGTCCCTTCTCGCAAGCTCTGAGGATAATTATTTGATTCCTTACTTCCCCCATGGTTCCTGGTGCCTCCATGTGGTAAAAAGCCACCTGGGAGTAGATTTTAGATGCATCACTTTTTATTTCACATGTGTAAAAATTTTACCTACATATACATATATGAATGTATCATGTGTGTTCCTAATCAGAAGAGGGGGTTGCATTTCCTGGTGCTGGAGTTACAGAGGGTTGTGAGCCTTTGCATCTGAACCCACGTCCTCTGCAAGAGCAAGTGCTCTCAACTGCTGAGCCATCTTTCCAAGCCGTTAGAGGCATCATTCTTAATTACACCTGGAAATAATTTCATTGCATGAGGAGATAGAGGGATAGTGGGTGGTGTTAACAGAAAATAAATGAACTCTTGTAACAAGGCATCATTTCATCATAGTAACTTACACTGCAATCTTCCTTATGTTTCTGTCTCCTGTCACTGACACACACCTGGCACGCTCCTTCCCTTCACGACTTCAGCATTCAGAATGACAACAGATAACTCTGTCCTTCTCTGTGTGGCCTTATCACTTTGATAACATCACTTTCACCAGGATGAAATGTAGCTGAAGCTGTAATGCCTTATACCTAAGAAACACGCTGTCATCACACCATGAACCAGGAGAGAATTTCATCCTCAGCTGAGTGTTCGGTTCCCTCTGACTTTAAACAAAGTTTGAACAACAGTCTTTTGTGGTCTGGTATTTTTCTTCCTAGGAATTGATGGGTGTGTATGTGTGCATGTGTGTAGAGTTTAGGAACTACTTCAGTCACAATTGCTATTACCAAATAGTGTCTGAGAGTTGCTTCTTGTACTGAAGGTGCCTACTGCAGCTCAGTATTCTTTCACAAGCTCCAAACTAGCCTGAAGTAAATGTTCCTTGAAGTACGTACAGCTCAAAGATGAAGGCCCGAGTGCCAGACATTGGTATGGTTTATCTGTCTGTATTCATTCAACCAACAAATTTTAGTCTTGTAGTAAACTGCTTTGACTGTATGTCTGTGACCTTGGGCAGGTTTGTATTTATTTATTTATTCTGCAGTCAAATTAAGGAACTATGCAAATACCTGTAGTGATAATAATAAATGAATTGAAGGCCTGCCTACTGTGTGTCTGGCACTAGGAAAGGACTTAAAACTTAGGAACATAGGAAGTATTATTTTTTCCTAAAGGAGAGGAAAGACCTCTGTGCTTAAAACTCCCATGTTCTATCTTACATCTGTTACTATACTGTTACCATTTAAGAGACCCCTCTGCCTGGGCTTCTGTCTCAACAAAGGGCAACAAGCAGCAAGTGTGAGGAGTTAGGGTTGCACTGAGGTGGAGCTGCTCCTGAGAAGTTCGCCAGTTGGTAAGAGAGTCCATGAGCGCATGCGTGCGTAATACGTGTGTGTGTGTGTGTGTGTGTGTGTGTGTGTGTGTGTGTGTGTGTGTGTGTGAGAGAGAGAGAGACAGGGTGGTGGCAAAGTGTCTCTTATCTACAGGCATCTTACAGATTCCAACAGTCAAACAGGGGCTGGGATTCTTCAAGAGACCTTTGAACAATGGGTTTTTATTGTCATGTACTTTTCAGACAATGTTTTTGCAGACTCTTATAGCTGGTAAAGAATACCATTTTGATATGAAAAGATCAAGTGATTATAACTTACAGAGTTGATTTAAATAAAACCAAGTCAGTATACCAATGTCTTAAATTGGCTGCATAGTAATTTCAGTTTTCTTTTTGTGTGTGCTGCTGAGTTTTCTGTTTTTTCCAGTTTGACTGACATTTTTGAACATTTATTTTTAAGTTTAAATAAAAATAAAGAACATCCAGTCACTAAATTTTCTCAGGCACTTAATGATGCCAGATGTTGTGGAAGTTTTAGACACCGTTTTTCACATTCTACTCGTAATTTATCTATGCAAAGAATGCAGGTTTCTAGGGGATTGTAGGAGTATGTCACTCCTCGGGGTGGGCAATTTGCAGAAGGGTTGGATAAAGGACAATTTGGAGAAAAGAGTAATTTATTTATAATCTTAATTGCCTTGCTTTGTTTTCTGCTCCTTAGCTCCAGTTCTGCTGAGAGAATTAAAAAACAAAAATATACACTACTGTGTTGGCTGTGTGTGGTATTATTAGAAGTACCAGCTGAGGAATTTGTTGTTGAAATCATCCATAGGACAAAGCAGTACATAAAATGATTGATAGAATATTGATAGCTACTGACGTTGGATGATTTGTACATGGGTTCAGTGATCTATTCTTTCTAGTTGCTATATGTTTTGCATTTGTCACAGTAAAACATTTTGAAAAGAAAAAAAAATGCCAAGGGTTATTGCTTATCATCCTGATTTGGGGTTGTGAACACTTCATTTTTTTTCCTTGCTAGATATGCATTCTTCTTCAGCAAGTAGCCCTGTTCCTGATCGTGCCCCGGAACCTAACCCCACCCTTGCCCAGACTCTGTCTGCAGCCCCTGCTCCCACGGCTCCTCACCCCACAAAGGTAGCAAAGCCTTTCGGCTATGGCTACCCGACTCTTCAGCCTGCTTATCAGAATGCAGTAGCACCTCCAAGCTCTGGCGCACATCCCAGTGGCCCGGCGTATTCTGGATATCCTCAGGTGTGTTTTCAGTCCTGTTTGATAAATTGATAAACATTGTAAACTGTCAATTAGAGCACATCTCTGATGATCAGAGCTTTAAAGAGGTGGAGTCTCGATGAAAAGATAGCCACAGTTTAGATTTTCTTTATTGTATCTTTAGGGTTTTGCAGTTTTTATATAGGTATTTTTTATAATCAGGAAATTAAATGATAATTTAAATTTATGTTTACATGTGTATATGTATGTCTGCCATGTATGTGTGGATAACCACAGAGGCCAGAAGAGGGTATTGGGTCCCTTGGAGCTGGAGTTATAGGCAGTTATGAGCTTCCAGCATGGATACTGGGAAGTGAACTTGGGTCCCCGGGAAAAGCCAGTGCTCTTCATCATTGAGCCACTTCTGCAGCCCCTAACATTAACCTTTTCAAAATTGTCTATTACTAAGCTGGGATTTACCTCAGAAAATAAGAGAATGTAACTTAGTATTTATTTTAGACTCTGTTCTTTACTTGAAGGGCTCTGATATAAAAATCATCCTGTGAAAATCTTCATGAACAGAAGTTGGTGAGCTTCTAGTTTGTGAGCTCAGTAGCTGTTAGTTATTTTTCTGTTGTTGTGATAAATACTGTGACCCAAAGTGACTTATGGCAGAAAGAGTTTATTTTGGCTCATGTTCCCAGAGTGGAGTCATAGTGGGGAAGACATGTCATGAGGCAGCCAGAGCAGGAAGCTGGCTGATTCCATTTCATGACACAGGACACAGGAAACTGAAAGAAGGAACTGGAAGTGGGGGTGCGGGAGTGTGATATATTCTCAAAGCAGCTCCCAATGACATACTTCTACAGCAAGTCTTCATGGCCTGAAAGTTCATAAATTCCCCCAAATAATGCCACCGACTGGAGACCAGTTGTTCAGATACACAAGTCTACAGAGGAAGTTTTCATCCCCACCACCATTGTAGTAGTGGTCAAGATCATCTGGTGACTTCCTTGAGCTCTCTTTAAGAGCATTGCAGTTCTGTTGTATTCAGAATGGTAAATAGTTTTCGTTTTCATTCATTGAAAAGAAAAGAAAATGTGGGGAAATGAGTGAAATGGCAAAAGCATTTCCTCTTATGCTTAGCTTAGAAGGAAAACATGGGGGCTGAGGAGATGGCTCCGTAGCAAAACCCTTGCCATACAAGCATGAGGACTGGAGTTTGGATCTCTAGCATCCATGTAACATCCATGTAACTGCTGAGTGGGCATGGCAGTCCACTCCACCGGGCATTCCCCAGAGCAAGCTGTCTAATGAGACTAGCCATCCATGAGCTCTGGGTTTGACTGAAAGACCTTGCCTCAGTGAATAAGGTAGAAGAGCGAGTGAGGATGATCCCTGTCATCAATCAGGCCTACACACGCGTGCACACACATGCATCTACACTTATACACAGAAAAAGTTGAAAAAGAAAACAGGGAATTGTTTGTATCTGGAATTTCATCTTAGAATTAGGTGCAGAAGGAAAGGAGGAAGAAAACTAGAAGGAGTTTTGGGGTAATCTGGTTGATTTGGTACTGACCTCCTCTCCCCCATTTCTTATATGTTCCTTGTAGGTACATTGATCCACACAAAGTCAGGTTCCAGTCTTGACTATCTTGTGCTTTAGGTGAATTCCTATGTAGAGTTAACGTATACTTGAGAAAAAATTCTGAGATTGGCTTGATTCTTGGAAGTAGCAGGCAAGGAGCAAATGGCCCCTTTGCCTGGCTTTGTAACTCACACTATTAGAATACAGCTGTGGCCCTTGGCCTCTTGTGTTGTTACAGATGCTGTTACATTACAGTGGTAGAGTTGAGTAGTGACTACCAAAGTTTTAAAATAGGATCTCAGAGCCACTGCTGAAAACATGATTGTTCTTGGTATAGGAGAATAGGACTTCGTTTTGACTTCACTTTTTGAGATAGTCTCCTGAAGGTCAGGCTGACATCAAACTCAATGTGTAGCCAAGGATGACCTTGAACCCTTGATCCTCCTTCATTCACCTCCCAAGTTGCTGGAATTATAAGCATGTGCTACTCTGCTTCACCTAATGAATTTTAAAAAGTTGAACATGTCTCATGCCTCTTCTAATCATTAACCCCCTGAATAACGAGCAGCCACTATCTTGACCCCAGATTACTTTTAGCACTCTTCGAATCATACTACATGCGTTATTGTTGCTCTTTGTGTGACTACAGTTTGTTCAGTGTTAGCTCAGCTCCACTATGACTCTACTAGCTTATTGTTGTTGATGGGCAGTAGGGTAAACTTCTGGGTTTGAAGCTATTATGAATTATGAATGGTTCTCTTGTGAACATTTCTGTCCATATCTTTTAAGCAGATGTTCAGATCCAGGAGTGGAATTGCTAAGTCCTGGGGTATCCATACTGTCATTCTTAGCCTCGGGGAGATTTTCATAATTAGTTTCTTGAAGTGGGAAGAGTGGAGGTAGCCGTTCCCTGGACTAGAACCCTGAACTATATAGAGAAGAGAAAGTGAGCTGAGCACAAGCATTTGTCCATCTCAGCTTCTTGGTTGTGGATGCAGCTCCCTCACGTGCTAGTGCTGTGACGTCCCTGCGTGATGAACTATAACCTCGAGCTGTGAGCCACAAAACCCACCTCTCCCTTAAGTCTCAACTATGGCAAAAGTAACAAGACATAACATTCAACTCTGGCAGTCAGTGTTGGACAGTTTTTCACAGTGGCTTAAACTGCATTGGCAACAGCAGGACCAACATTTTTTTTTTTTTGTTTGTTTTTTTTCGAGAGGACCAACATTTTTAAATTCACCTAAGATTGACATTATTAAGATGATTTGAAGTGCCAGTTAGAATATATATAAACTGTGTTAATGTATATGCAAGTGTGGAGGTCAAGGGACAATGCTGGGGAGCTGGGTATCTCCCTCCACCTTTCCCTGGGTCTTGGGGATTGAACTCAGGTCACTAGACTTGCATGGCAAGTGCCTGTACCTGCCGAGCCATCCTGCTGGCCCTAGAATCCATATATGGCAGCTTTAAGGAGCCTTCTGTAGTACAACTGACATCCTTTAAATGTTGCACACGGTGTAATCAGTGGGTCAGCTCTGAGTCTAAAGGCTTTCTTTGGAGTGATTGCGATGGCCTTCATTGAGCAGTGAGAAAGGCCCAGCTTTTCAACCCTTCTTCAGAAAAGTGCATCTTACGTTCTTTTGTTCTTCAAAGGCTGGGTGCTAGGATTTGATCCCGGATTCATCATTCATTTCCTCCCTTTATTGCAGAGAATTTTGGAGAAAAGCCTTTCTTGCATATCCATCATACGACTCACAGCCAACAAAAAGAATAATAATTTCTAAGTGTTATTAAAATTCAGTAACTATGCAGATTTCCCTAGTCATTTTAGAAATGCTCTGTTTGGTTGTACAAATCATCAGCCAAACAATAACTTAACTGGTACGTTTGCTTATGTGTTATAGTTACCATTTTAAGTTGAAACAAGCCTTGCCTGTTGAGCTCATGCCTTTGTCGGATGGGAAGACCGAGCCAGCTGTCCTGTGCTGTGCTCATTGCTTCCTCGTGGTGTCGTTTTCCTGTGAGCCATGAATTAAATCTAACAGCTTGATTACTTCAGGTTCATTATTTGATGTAGTGACTTACGTAGGCCTGACCCTGACATCCTGATGATATAAACTAGTTTCTGTCTCCATGCAGTGGTGTGAGGATTGGCTAGTGCTTCGTCTGCTGACCTCCTGGTCATTTTGAAGTTCCTCGTTAAGTTTTTACCAAGTGGGTTTTAGCGTTTGGTGATATCTTTGTACCTTCTACTCCAGATGACCATTACCTAAATCGTTTATTTCAGGATGGCTGGTAAAATAGTGATTTTCCGCAAGTTCCCATTCTGTATGTATTAGTTAGAATTGGTACACATAATGAAACCTTTGGCCCCTTTATTAAGGGATGTGGAAGATAACTGTACTGTATATAGACAAAAGGTGTGTCCTTTTTTTTTTTTTTTTTGTCCTTTTCTTTGTTAAAAAGCCTGGGGTTAGAGTGGTGTGCACATTGTAGTTTATATTATAAATAGCAAAAAAGGAACTAAATGGAAAAGTAATTTAAAATGTTGATTATAGGTGAAGAGTAAGGTATCAAAATCATACAATTTTTGTAAGGTTTGTTTTGTTGGTGTTGGAGAGACATCCTGCAGATGACCTGGGTTCAATTCCCAGCACTTACTGTGACACACATCCCAGGTCCAGGGGATCTGAGGCCTCCCTCTGGCCTCGGAGGGCACCAGGCACACCACTGGTCCACAGACATACATGCAAGCAAGACATCCATTCACAAAAGGAAATTTAAATTTAAGTTCACAAAAGTGATGAGGAAATTCAGAAAAGCCATTTCTGAATGAATCACATATTAAAACAAAAGGTTATCTTGTCATAATTTTTGTCCTTTGATATGTACCCCAAGAGGCAGTAAGATTAGTTAGAACAATATTTTTCATGGTACTAGAACTTATTTCTTAAACCCTACGGATTGCTTTTTATCCCCTGGGCTGAATATTTTTGTGGTTGTATAAATACAGTTCTTTGTATTTTGAGGGAAAGTCCATAAAGAACTGGTCATGCAAATGACCTTAAAACAAAAGAAGTGTAAATGTAGGTATTGCTTTTGGTAATTCTTGATTTACTTAATTCAAAGATTGAGTAGTTTTAAATTGTGGAAATAATTCACTAAATTATTTTGAGTTAAGATAAAGCTGTGAAGTGTGTGGTGGCACGCACCTTTAATCCCAGCGCTCAGGAGGCAGAGGCAGGTGGATCTCTCTTGAATTTAAGGCCAGCCTGGGCTACAGAGTGAGTTCCAGGACAACCAGAACTATATAGTGAGACCTTGTCTCAAAACAAACAAACAAACAAAACAAAACAAATGAAAGAAGAGAAAGCTATGAGCTCATAGTAGTACTATAACATAACAGAACTATATAACAGAACTCTAGACATGTGTTCATTCTAAGGCATTGGCTTATCTTGAAACTTGATAATTAATAGAACTTGAAAATGCTGCAGAATTTATCATCCCTGTCCAATGTAAATTATATTTTTTTATGTTGAACAGTTCGATGTTATGAATAAAATTGATTTTGCTTTGAAATGCTTAATTATGCTTTAAATTGACTGTTAAGATATGACAGTGAAGCCTCCTCGAGTTCCCTTTGCATTAAAATCAGTGTTTAGAAACTTGTCTTCGTATTTGTTGTGTAATTTTCCTTTGCTTTGACTTTCTCTCTCAGCATTACCCGGGTGTGAACCAGCTGTCCTCTGCTCTAGGAGGACTGAGTCTGCAGAGTTCTCCACAGCCAGAAAGCCTCAGACCTGTGAACCTCACCCAGGAGAAGAATATCTTACCTGCGACTCCTGTTTGGGCTCCTGTACCTAACCTGAGTGCGGAGCTCAGCAAGTTAAACTGTAGCCCCGAGTAGGTACTCTCTCCTTTAGAGTGTTTTTACAATAAGAGAGCTTAGATGAAAACAGCCACGACTTCCAGAAATAGGCAGTGTGCTGTCGGTCCCTTGATTTTGTTCACATGGGCTTTTCTGTCTTGGTTTTGATAGAAGTACATGGAAGCTTCCCTCAGTTTGGCTGTGTTTGGGAGTGTGTGGGGTGTGTATGTGTGGCACACTGTATTTGTGTTGGTTGTGGTGGTACGAGCCAGAGGAAGACATCAGATGTCCTGCTCTGTCACCCCGCTTTATTCCTTTGAGACAAAGCCACTCACTGAACCTAGAGCCAAGCTGACATTCAGCGTACCCCAGCAATCCTCCTGTCTCTACTCCCTACAGCGGGTACCCGGGGCCAGCCACTCCTGCTCTTTCTCATGGCTACTGAAGATGTGAACTCAGCTCCTGTGCTGAGCCATCTCCCCAGAACCCCTGACACTCTAAAAGTGAGGTAGTCTTTGAAAATCTCTTTCTTCAGGCTGTTCTTGCACAGGTGGTGCTAAGATGGTTTCCATAAAAGCACCAAGGAGTAGGCTGACAGCTCTGCCTGTCCCTATTCCATCCAAGCTCTTCTCGGGGTGACGGGGCCTTGCGTTAGTGAGTGACTACACCTTTTCTAGGAGTTGAATGTAGTGGGTGCGTAGGTATGGAAGTTGGCTGCCTGCAGTAGTGTATGCCCGTAGTCCGAACTCTTGGGATGCTGAGTCAGAATGAACTCCAGTTAAAGGTCTTCTTGGACTACTTCACATCCAGATAAAGAACTCTTGTAGTTAGGGGAATCTTGTATACGCTTTTGTTTAGTTATGGTTTCTGAAAGTAGCACTCTTCAAAATTAGAAAGAGTAATTGGTACCGGCTTTAGAGAGGACAGACCCAGGTCTTTACTGGGGTTCTAGGTGGAAGTGGCTGAGTGTTAGTGTTCTATTTATTAAGGAATTCAGGTTGAGTATTCTTTTCTAAAATGCTTCAGGCTACCAAACAAGTGCTACTAGCTTTTGGAATGTTTCCATCGACTTCTTTGGTTAGGCACTCTTAATTGGAAAGTCTGAAATACTCCGACAGGAAACCTTCTGGGCATCCTGTCTTTACTCAGAACACTTTGGATGGAGCCTTTTCAGTCTCATATTTTCAGAGTAGAGACACGGGAGCCGGAGCCTGTGGTAATAGCACCTACACACAGGGCCCGTCCTTGAATCAGTAAACATTTTCTGGATGCCTTCCAAGTTGTGAGTGAGGCAGTACACAAAACAAGTTTCCTGAGCTCTGTGGAATCATCGAACTTGCGTTCTATTAAGAAAGATAAATGTGCATTATCAGATTAGTGAGAGAGTACTGCACTGCACTCCTGGGAAATGTTCTACGATTCTGTACTGCAAGGAGGCCCCGGGAGGGACTAGCAGAGTGTGTTCAGGGAATTCATCGAGCCTGCGGGAGCAGCTCTCTCTTCCCAGACTGTCCAGCACAGCAGGAGTGTGCCCTAGAGCTCAGGTAGAAGCCATCCCTCACTTGTGGCCTTAGGCCCGAGGAGAAGCGGTGACTGGATGAGTCTTGTGGTAAGAGTGAGTTCAGGATGAAAGGTCCAGTAAGTGGGAGCATTGTGTGCCGGAGCACTGTGTGCCAGAGCAGTGGCATTTTCTGCAGCTCCTGCCTGTGCTGTACAGAGCACTCACTGTGTGTTAGACTGTGCTGTGCTTTTCAGCTGTGCGAATGGGGCTCCTTGATCAGGTCTTTGGACACCGGTTACAGTCATGCCTGGCTGAGTGGTCTTCTTCCCCAAATAGCAGTGGTAACCTGCCCAAGTGGTTCTCACTCGGCGCTTCCCGGTGCGGCTGCCCCAGTAGCTAACTGCTGCATGTTTGTGTCTTGGCAGTTCCTTCCGATGTACCTTGACAAGCATCCCACAGACACAGGCTTTACTGAATAAAGCCAAGCTTCCCTTAGGACTGTTGTTACATCCCTTCAGAGACCTGACGGTAAAGTACATTCTAACTATTCAGGTTCCGGTACATGTACAGGGTATCCAGACCTCTTTGTTTCCTGCTGCATGTTTGTCTTCTTTTAGTAGAGTTGGAAATAATCATTTCTGGGCTGGTGATTGGTCCCCAGGACCCACGTGGTGGAAGGAAAGAGCCGACTCCCACAAGCTGTCCTCTGACCCCCACGTTCAGGCTATGGCAAGCACACCCCCACACATCCCACACACTGTGGCACATGCCACATGAAAATAAATACAGTGTAATACATTTCTTGTAGAAATTATGATTTCTGTAAGATTCAAGGCAACACATGTCTTCTGAGCACCTGCTCTGCCTGGCATTGGTGTGCAGTGGCCACAGCCTGGATCTCCTCCCAGTGGGACAGATGTGAACCACAGCTGCATGCTGCCTGACGGACACGTAATCAGTCCAGTTCTGTGAGGCAGTGAACACAGGGAAAGGTTCAGTTAGCAGAGGCGTTCTGTAAGAGAGTCTGGGCCTCACTTGGAACCTTAGGAGTAGTCTGGAAGTTGCAGCCACCATGGTTGATACATAAACTTTAAGATGAGTCTTTTTGTTTTGTTTTGTTTTGGTTTTTCGAGTTTCTCTGTGTAGCTTTGCGCCTTTCCTGGAACTCACTCTGTAGCCCAGGCTGGCCTCCAACTCACAGAGATCCGCCTGGCTCTGCCTCCCGAGTGATGGGATTAAAGGTGTGCGCCACCACCGCCTGGCAGGATGAGTCTTTTTTTTAAACAGTTATGTCCAGATAGAGAGGGAGGTTATCTGGTTGAAATTAAATACCTTGGGACAGTGGGGGAGCCCAAGAATGTCAGATCTGCTGAATGAAAGCTTGGGTTAATAGCCACCTTGCTGGAGTCTTACACATCTTTCTGACAGTTTGTGTAGATAATGTTAGCAGTAGCTGACAGAATAGCCTGGTTGGCCAAGAAAATAAAATTAAAATTTTAAAGTTCGGAAAAAAATGTAGCTAGAGACATTTATACTGAAGCTGCATTTCTCTCACTTACTTGCCTGCTAGGATGGATGGAAAATATCAGTGAATGAAAAATCAAGTAATTGTAATGCGTAACCAGTCCTATGAATTTACTCACTCAGTAAATAGTATGTAATTTAAACACTATTAAAGCCTTCATCATTAAACCAGGACAGTTAATTCTTCTATGCATAGCTGAAAGTTTTTCTTTTTTTTTTTGGCTTTTTTTAAGACAGGATCTCACTATTGTAGCTCTAGCTGTTCTGGAGCTCACTCTGTAGGCCAGGCTGGCCTTGAACTCACAGAGGTGTGAGCCACTATGCCCAGCTGCTGAGAGTTTTTCTTTTTTCTTTTTTTTGGTTTTTCGAGACAGGGTTTCTCTGTGTAGCTTTGCGCCTTTCCTGGAACTCACTTGGTAGCCCAGGCTGGCCTCGAACTCACAGAGATCCGCCTGTCTCTGCCTCCCGAGTGCTGGGATTAAAGGCGTGCGCCACCATCGCTCGGCTGAGAGTTTTTCTTTAAGTACAGATTCCATATATGATATCTTGTCAAAGTATGTGTACTGTGTATTAATAATTATGTTCTCTGGAATCTAGAATTATGAGTAAATTTCGTTTTCTCATTTTCAGTTAATTTTATTTTCTTCACAATGATATGCAGCTATTACTATAAGATAGCAATGCAGAACATTAAATACAAAATTATGTGTTGATTTTTTTTTTTTAAATCCCAAACGAAGCATATAAAATGATACTGGATGAATTCAGGGACATAGAATAGTGTGTGATATTTTAATGTGTTCTCTATTTTCTAGATTGACTAACTCTAAAGTTCTTTTCCAAACTACGCGTAGGGGTGTGTTTTCTGTGGCCTTGTTCTCGTCTGCTGTGACGGCTGTCGGCCCTGCAGCAGCCTCCCCGCCTGGGGCAGCCGCTCAGCAGAGAGCAAGGCCTTCTCCTGCCATGGGTGCCGCTCCCTGGCTGCTGTCTCAGGCTGGCCGAGAGGTCCCGACATGGTTTTCTCGGCCAGCCAGGCTCCTGACTGATGTTTAATGGTCTGACTTGCCTTTGTGGAGAGTGATAGCCACTCGGCTTGCTAAGCAAGTGTGTCACCAGGTTTAGTAGCACACCCAGTCTAGTACGTGAGCAGGCGTGTTTGTGTCCTGGTTTGCACTGGAGTCTCTGTGCTGCTACAGTGTCTTTACTTTCTTTCCCAGCAATTGCCGGTGATAACGTCGAACACCATTGTGAGGTGCCGATCGTGCCGGACGTACATCAACCCCTTCGTGTAGGCGTGTTTGTGTCCTGGTTTGCACTGGAGTCTCTGTGCTGCTACAGTGTCTTTACTTTCTTTCCCAGCAATTGCCGGTGATAACGTCGAACACCATTGTGAGGTGCCGATCGTGCCGGACGTACATCAACCCCTTCGTGTCCTTCATTGACCAGCGCAGGTGGAAGTGCAACCTCTGCTACAGGGTTAACGATGGTGAGTGGAGTGTCCTTGGAAGTGCAGCCTCTGCTACAGGGTTAACGATGGTGAGTGGAGTGTCCTTGGAAGTGCAGCCTGTGCTACAGGGTTAACGATGGTGAGTGGAGTGTCCTTGGAAGTGCAGCCTGTGCTACAGGGTTAACGATGGTGAGTGGGGTGTCCTTGGAAGTGCAGCCTGTGCTACAGGGTTAACGATGGTGAGTGGAGTGTCCTTGGAAGTGCAGCCTCTGCTACAGGGTTAACGATGGTGAGTGGAGTGTCCTTGCAAGTGCAGCCTGTGCTACAGGGTTAACGATGGTGAGTGGAGTGTTGTTGGATGACGCCTTCCTCAGGCGTTTGTGCTCTCACTCTTTAGAAACAGCTTCAGGACAGTTGATGGAGCCTCCAGTTTGATCTCGGAGGAGACACTTCACAGTAACAAGAGTGAAGGGGCAGAGTCAAACAAAACGAAATGAAAAAGCACATAAAAAAGCCATGTTGGTCACTCGGTGAACACATGTGCACAACAGCTTGTGAGTCTGGGTCAGTGAACTAGGCTGACCTTACAGACACACGCAGACACATGTGTCTTCTTGTCCTCCTCTTCACCCGTTTTTGAGTTCTTCCTGTTCAAACTGTTTCCCGGTTGTGCTTGTCTGATTTTTTTCCATGTCATGTGATACAATAAATAGGACATGAGTCTAAGGAAGAAGGTTGCCATTTCCTGGTTTTCTCAGTTAAAGGTTTCCTTTTTTAGTAAACGTAAGTATTCGTGATGAAGGTGTGTTGTCGCTAAATGCACTTTGGTTCTTACCTCTCGTCTAGTTCCTGAAGAGTTTCTGTATAACCCCCTGACTCGGTCTTACGGAGAGCCTCACAAACGGCCGGAAGTTCAGAATTCGACTGTGGAGTTCATCGCTTCCTCGGACTACATGGTAATTCTTCACTTCAGTATCTGAACTGGTTACGGGACACAGTTAAATGAGGCGGTTCTTTTAAGTACATTCTCATCTAGATTTTGAAGTCTGTATTTTTAAAATATTAATATGAAAATGTGTATGTAACAAATAAACTAGTCTTAAAATTATCACCATCTTTAACAGTTCCCTCAGGACAGATGGCAATATGAATGAATGGCTTGTTCAGTTTTTCTTACAGTTCAGTCATCAAATTCCAGCTGTTCTTTATATTCTAACTCTTGCTTTTTTTCTGCTTATAAAAATGGATTTTAAGTTGCATAATGCTCATCTTTGTTTTCTTATTTTTATTAAAAATAGTACTAAACCCCCCCACCCCCCCAGTCGTTTTCACTCTTGGTTGTTAGCAAACATTTGAAGTGCGTGCCGCAAGTAAGGAGAGAGAGCCAAAAACATCTGGTGCTGGGTGGATTGTGCCGAGTCTTTATTTTTGTGATTTTGATGGTTAACTTAGCCTAGGTCGGTTTCCATGTCAGTTCCCACCTTCACCGTCCGTTTACCCTTCACCTTTAGAACTGCCATGTTCTCGGCTCTGGAGTCCTAGGGATCTTACCCTGAGTGGCCGGGTAAATAGGCTTTAGCTGTGTCGTGTGATTTCAGGACCTTTGGTTGACAGGTTTTTAAGAAAACCTTCATGGACTGAGAGTGCCGCTCAGTGGTCGAACTCTTGCCTCACATTTGTGAGGTACAGGTTCATTTCCTAGCACTGAGACTTAACATAAAGGAAGGAAAAAAAGACACTATATGCCCTTTTATTACTTTTTGCAACTCAATTTTAGTAAGCCTTCCTGTACATGTAACTTGAGCCTGAATATTTATTAATATAAATGTATTTATCCATCTCTCCACCCATTCCTCATCCTCTTGCCCCTTCCTGTCCTCCAATATATGAAGTTCTAATGCAGGGGCTGGAGAGATGCTCAGGGGTAAGAGTGCTCAGTGCACAAGCTCGGAGACCTGGGTTCGGATCCCGTACCCACATGAAAGCTGGGCATAATTGTGCAAGTGCTTGTAAGGTGGTTAGGGGACGGAGTTGGGGAGAATCATTGGAGCTTATTGACCAGCAGCCTAGCTCCAGGGTCAGTGTCAGACATTGTCCCCGTCACTCAAGCCGAGAGTGATAGAGCAAAATGAATCTTCTGAGACACACACACACACACACACACACACACACACACACACACACTTCTAATCCGAGACATCACATCATTTTACTCTTGTGTATGTCACCATGTTTCTCTAACAGATGAGGACTTCTGTGATTGTTTATACCCTATGCCATCACAGGACCCTTCTTTACACTTACCCTTAAGCTTTGGGATTCAGCCACTATCGATGATCTAGTAGCTAATGCGAATGACAGATTGTCCGACTTTAATTTTAATTTGTAGTTGGGGAGGATGGGGGTGGGGGGCTGGGTTGTACATTTGAGGCCAGAAGTAGTTGGATCCCCTGAAGCTGGAATTGTCGGCATCCATGAGCCACTTGACACTGGCCTGGGAACTGAACTGGGGTCCTCTGCAAGACCAGGACACACTTGTAACTGCTGAGCCATCTCTCTAGCCTCAAAATTTTATTCTTTAAAGAATAATAAATGTTATTTTTTAAATAAAAAATTAAAATTAAGGGCTGGAGATGTAGTTCAGTATAGTTAGTGTCTGTCTGGGGTGTGCAACACCCTGGGTTTAATTCTCAACAAAGTAAAAATTAATTTAAAAACTGAAATCCTAGGGGTTGGAGGTAGGGGTCAGTGGTTAGGACCACCTGCTGCTCTTCCAGAGGACCAGGGTTTGGTTGCAGCACTCACACGGCAGCTCACAGCTGTCTGTGACTCCCGTTCCAGAAGATCCAGTGCATGCACATTGTGTACTTAGTGCAGGCCAAACACTCAAGCACATAAAATACAAATGAGGAAATTTAAAAAGAGAAAATACCCTAAAAACTAGAGCATACATAAATATTTAGACTGGTTAGCATTAAATAAATAGCCAGCAACTATTACTTTAGAAGATACGTTAGTCAGCTTTCCTTACATTAAAACACTTAACGTTCTTAGCCATTACAACTACCTTTCAATCTAATCTCAAGTGAACTTCACAAGAAAAATAAACTAACGAAAGGAATATCATTTTCATTAGCTGGAACTGCAGTCCTAGTCTTCTACATATGAGATATGTGTGTATGTATCTATCTGTGTGTATATCTATCTATATTTGTACAGATGGTCGGTAAATTCATCCAGTAACAACAGTGATAGGAAACCAGGACGTGTGCCGCTAACTAATGACGATGGTTTTGTTTCTTGCAGCTTCGTCCTCCTCAGCCTGCAGTCTACTTGTTTGTTTTAGATGTGTCCCATAACGCAGTGGAAGCTGGGTATTTGTCAGTTTTGTGCCAGTCGTTATTAGAAAACTTAGACAAGTAAGAATATTTTTTATTCCTATGTGGGTATATAAGTGTGTGCATACATTTGAAGTGCTCTTGTACAATTTACAAATTGTTTTGTTTTGTTTGCTAAGTTTTGTTGGATTTGGCTATGTTTACCTAACTTTATAGAATATAAGGATTCTTCTCCTTGTTATGGAGAATATCTTAATTAATAACAACATAATATCTTAATTCATAAAATAATAATTGCTTTAATATTTTGAAAGAACTTGAATCTTGTCTATTCCTCTGACTAGCTGCCCTGAGCACTGAGCCAGAGAGACTGGCCTGTGCATCAGGAATCTGGGGGACACTATTACTAACTAGTATGGCTAAGTCTGAGGGACATTAGTCAAATGCCATTAGAGCAGGCACTGAGAAATGCATGCCAGATGATTTCAGTCAGGTCTGGACTCTTAACAGCTGATCTACAAGCAGAGACTGCTGGCGACTGGGGTGGGTGGGTGAGATGGCGGGAGGAACGGCTGCAGACGTTCACACAGCAGCCATGCAAAGAACTGTTGGTGACTTGGTGACTGTGACTGGCAATACTGAGCAGACTTGCCTTTTCTTACTACATGTTAACCTTATATATTAATTAACTAAATTTTGTTATCCCGCCTTATGGGTGCATCTCAAGACATTTGTACCCTATAGATGCATATGATTTTGTCAATTTTTTTTTTTTTTTTTTGGTTTTTCGAGACAGGGTTTCTCTGTGTAGCTTTGCGCCTTTCCTGGAACTCGCTTTGGAGACCAGGCTGGCCTCGAACTCACAGAGATCCGCCTGGCTCTGCCTCCCAAGTGCTGGGATTAAAGGCGTGCGCCACCACCGCCCGGCTGATTTTGTCAATTTAATAAAGCTAATAAATTAAAAAATAAAATGAATAGAAATCTAGCTATAATTATGACTGGGTAAGACATTTTTTCACAAGCTGGTTTTATTGGCACTAGTGAGAGACTGATTTGAAGAGAGGGACAGTAGGAGCTGAGTTTGCTGAAATGTTAGGAAGCTGGAGAGTGTGCTGTGTATACTGGTACAAGCTTCCAGCTATGGAAGTTGGAACAGAAAATACGGTGGCTTATGTGTAAACTCTTCAGTCCCTCCTGTTCGTCTCCAGCAGTCACGGAGGAGTCTTTCCACCAGCTTTGAAGAGGATCCTTCAAAATTTCTGCAAAATTATATATATAGTGTGTGTGCTGGAGATGGAGCTCTGGACCACTCACCAGGCCTGCGCTCTGTCACTAAGCCACACCTCCGTGCTGGTCTGTCTTTCAACTCTAAGTTCCCCTTGGGGTCAGTGCCCCTGGAGGTACTGCAGTGCCAGATGTTTTCTTTGAGTGAGTCGAGCAAGTTCCCATTCCATCTCCTGCTCCATCAATCCTCCATTATTCTCAGAAAAGTATGAGGAAATGGCCCCAGTTATTCCAGCAAGATTTAAGTGACTATTTGCAAATTAGATTATATAAAACCAAAAGGATAAAGTGAGAGTGGAAAGTAGTTGTATTTGTTTGATTACAGCAGAAAATAGACACATTGGGAAGGTAAGAACAAGAATAGGCAGGGTACCAGATCACAGCCCTGTGGTAGCACATTTCCTGAAAGGGCTCTGGAAACACTCCTGAGAAAAGAATTTGCTGCAGATACATTTCAGCGAGATTAGTGTATTTTCTTAGCAGGGTAGGTCAGTAGGTCCCACTATAATTGCTGACTAATGTCCTGAGACTTTCGGAACTTCGAGGTCTCAGAGGAGTGCATATTAATCTGTGGGAACATAAGTCCTGCCCGGTATTGGCACCTGAATACTGCATTTTTCTCCTCGAAATGTGTTTGACTGCTCTTGAGACTGTTGAGGCCTACCTGGGTTGGTCATTCTAACAGTATAAAGGGTTGTGCTTTGATGCACATTCTACTTTTGAATTTTTTAAAGATTTGCTTACTTTTCATTTGTATATCACATGCATACCTGGGGTCCAGGGAGACCTAAACAGGGCATCGGCGCTGGGAACTGGTGTTGACCATGTTATAAGCCACGATCAGTTTTGGGAACCCAACCTGCGTTCTCCCCAAGTACAGCAAGCGCTCTTCACCTCTGAGCCATCTCTCTAGCCCCTGGAATCTTTTGTACTCAAAAATATTTTAAAGGCATGCTAAAGTAATAGCTTACATAACCAAAGTGAACACAGCTGGCGAACTTTAAGATGCACTTCTGTAACACATGCTGCTGAGGAATGTCATGAGTCCTTCTCTGTCCTGCCATCCAGCTCCCAAATAATGACACAGAGACTTCTTACTAATTATGAAAGCTCGGCCTATAGCTTAGGCTTGGCCCACCAGCTCTTATAGCTTAAATTAACCCATTTATTTTAATCTATGTTCTGTCACGTGGCTTGTTACCTTATCTCTCCGTACTGCCCAGCGCCTAGATTCCTCCTCCTCTTCCTTTCTCACCCCAGAAATCCCGCCTAGCTATTGGCAATTCAGCTTTTTATTACACCAGTCACAGTAACACATCTCCACACAGTGTACAAATAGCCCACACAGAGGGAAGTGTGGCAGCCTGTATTCTTGCTATCATGGCATTGTTTTGAAAACTGATTTCTAACAGAAAACTTCCTAGTGATTGATAATAGATAATCATTTCAATGTTCATAACTCTGTTTTTTTGTTTAAAATTCACGTACTAAAGTCTAACAACATTGTTAATTTTTTCCTGAAAAGTATTTGTCATTCTGACCGTAGAGTGTTCAAACAGGTTACACCACTATGATACTGAGACAGAAAATATGATCACATTCTTACTTAAGAGTCTAACAGTGAGGCGTGGTGTCTCACTCCAGTAATCCCACATTCTGGAACCTGAGGCAAGATAGCCACAAGTTCGAGGCCAGCCCTAGCTATAGTGACAGTCCAGGTCTCGTTCTGTGGCCTCGACCCCTGGGGGTTGAATATCAGATATGTACATTATGATTCATAACAGTAGCAATATTAAGTTATGAAGTAGCAATGAAAAATTTTATGGTTGGGGGTCACCACAGCATGAGGAACTGTGCTAAAGGGTTGCAGTGTTCGGAAGGTTGAGGACTACTGCCCTAGAGAAAAGTAAGCCGGAAATGTTGAGCTTTACAAACCACTTGGGATCTGGTTTGCTCTTAGCTGAAGGCCGCTTCACCTTCTGCGTCTGAATTCATGAGTACTGCACCCTTGTCTGATTGATTCCTTGTGTATTGGTTCAGATAGTTTTTCTGCGTCCCGTCCCGTAAAAGGTGACGTGTAGCTGTCCTTAGACTTAGCCTCTTTCAGTATCTTGTAAACAGTGTGACTGAGCACTTTGAGTTTCAGGTTGCCATTTTTGTCACTAGGCTCCCTGGAGATTCACGAACAAGAATAGGATTCATGACTTTTGACAGCACCATTCATTTCTACAATTTACAAGAAGGATTATCACAGCCTCAGATGTTGATTGTATCTGATATAGACGGTAAGCGTCAGAGGGTAGTCTGTGTAGCTGTGGGTTTGGAGCAAGGTCCACTTGACTTTAAGGTCCAACTTGTCATGTACTGTGAGCATGATTTGGTACAGCTTGGCATTTGTTTAAAATAGGTGTTTTCTTGGAAATGCTTGATTTTAAGTTGTGCGTGCGTGCGTGTGTGTGTGTTGATGTGTATATATGGAGTATATGTGTTTACTACAGCAGAATTATAATACACATGGCAAGTGTCCTTGTAGAACCAAAACGTGCTACTTTATAATGTCCTCTTGACTATATCCTGATGAAATGTTTTTTCCCTATAGATGTTTTTCTGCCCACACCGGATAGTTTGCTTGTGAATCTGTATGAAAGTAAAGAGGTAAGATTAATTTGTCTCCTCAAAGTATCAAGACACTTGCTATTAGCTGTTTCCCTTCTTGTTGGACACTGTGGGAGCATCTAGCGAGTCCTTCCTGCAGGGTCCCCAGAGGTGGAGTTGCCACGCTGTATTCTAGAACGTTTCAGAGAAGAAAACCCTCTTGCCTTCTCAATAATTCAACCTTTCATCTTCCCTCAGCTTATAAAAGACTTACTGAACGCGTTACCAAGTATGTTCATCAATACCAGAGAGACGCACAGTGCCCTCGGTCCTGCCCTTCAGGCTGCCTTCAAACTAATGTCCCCCACGGGTGGCCGCGTGTCCGTGTTTCAGACGCAGCTACCTTCCCTGGGGGCAGGACTTCTGCAGTCCAGAGAAGATCCGAATCAGAGGTCGAGTACCAAGGTATTGCACGTGGAGTGCTTATATCTTAACCACTGGTGTTTTCTTTCCCAGAAGACTGAAATTGTCCATTACCTCCTCTTTGCTTCATTAGCGGTAAATAAAACCAGTAAGAGTTTAAGCCAGATTGCCTTTATTTGGGGGTTTGGTGTGTTCTTATTACTTAGTTAGCAGAACATAAAATTTGGTCTGAAGAGATGGCTTAGTGCTAAGAGCACTGACCATACCCACCTGCTCACCAAACTCAGTCCCTTTCAGGTAGAACGTTGGAGGTGGTGGCGCGTCTGTAGTCCCAGCAGCCCTGCAGTTCAGGGGGGCATGGGTGCACTCACACCCACACTAAACCAGACACATTCATTTTTAATGTTTAGAAACGTGCCCTACCTAATCCTTTTATTTACACATGAACAAAGTACTGTCTTGCCAAAGGTGGAATGGCTATTTCATCATAAAGTTATGGCTTGATTTTCTGTCCCCAATGTCATTTCTATTATACAAATGAAAAACTTAATCAAGCTCTTATAATTTAGCATGCTTATGAAAAAGCTTTTTAGGTTACGGAGGGAATACTAATCATTATAGAAAACTTAGATAGTAGAGAAAAGTGTAAGCCTTCAGTAATCTCACTCTCCGGGTATTAATGCTTGGTGAACACAAACTAATGTAATTGGTCTCCACTCACATAAACTCTGGCGTTTTTCATTGTGATTTCTGAGATCCCCAAAACCCTATAAAGTATGTATGGGTTAGTAAAGGTGAAAGTAGTCAACTGTCCAGTAGCTGGGAGGGAACTCGTTAAGCCTTCCTTATCCTTGTTAGTAACAGGTATCAGCGTGTTCAGTAGCACTCACTCTGGGGCTAGCGTTCTGATCAGTCTGACGTCATCAGACTTGCCTCAGTGTTCTCGTCTGTGAGAGCTAATAATGAAAATCTTACAAGCATTGACTCATTCAGCTGATATAAAATATCTAAAGCTGTGTGCCGTTTGTTTTCCCCACTAGGGTGAAGGTGAGGGGTTCTCACTGGGTAGCCCAGGCTAACTTTGGAGACTCAGCAGTCCTCTTGCTTCAGTTTCCAAAGTGCAGTGGTTTGAGCCATAGTGCTTGCTGTAAACACTAGGTCTTGTTACTGTTGGAAATCTGGGCCCATACTCTGTTGGGCGATAGTGGAATGAAGTATGTATCTTCTCCCTTGTTACAAGAGACATACACTGTGTGCATAGCCAAAGGCTCTTTATGATCTGTTGACTTAGGTGGTGCACCATCTTGGGCCTGCCACTGATTTCTATAAGAAACTTGCTTTGGATTGCTCGGGACAGCAGACTGCAGTGGATCTCTTCCTTCTCAGTTCCCAGTATTCTGACCTTGCTTCTTTGGGTAAGAGGATGTCATCATGTTACCTACTTAGAGATTTCTCACATGTACTGAACGCTGTGCTCTTCAGTAAGCACTCTTAGTACTGGGGGAGGAAGGCGCGTGGGTTAGATAGGTAGTATGAATGACGCTTATCAGTACACTTTAAAGCCCGATACCCAAAGAAACTGCTCTTGCTATTCCGCTTTGTAGCATGATTCCCTTAGCCATTCTGCTCAACAATAAACTTCAGTGTCTTATATTTTATAAATGTCTCAGGTTTCAGATTTATCTCATTCCTGTCGATGTTGGGCTTTCACATAACAGTTTTTCATAACATGGAATCTGTAGTACTTGTTAGACAAGTAGATTATCGTTACTTATCTCGCTAATACTTGATGTATTTCTCCCTAAAGCGTGCATGTCCAAGTACTCTGCAGGGTGCATATTCTACTATCCATCTTTCCACTCTACTCACAATCCTTCGCAAGCAGAAAAGTTACAAAAAGACCTAAAACGGTACCTCACTAGGAAAATTGGATTTGAAGCTGTTATGAGAATAAGATGTACTAAAGGTATGAACTTGTGAAAAGTGTGTGTCTGTTCCATTCCTGTGTCACTCAGTGAGCGTTCCCAGACCCATGGGTGGGTGGCTGTCCATCACAGAGGATGGGTCCAGCTGAACCCGGTCTGAAATGTAGTTATTGAGCGACCATTGACCGGTTTCTTTAAATAACTAGAATCCGTGGATAAAAGCAACATCTTTGTTTATTCAGGAAAAGCAGGAGGAAAGTGACAGTGGGAAGAGGAAAAGCTGCTCCCTTAACTATTTAATTGATGACTTCCTTGGGTTCTGTGAGTGTTTGTGGGGCAGAATCTCATCTTAAATCCAAAGTAAGGAACCCTTGGTTTCTCACTTTTGTGTGTTACAGTTATGTCTCAGCTGGACCTGCATGTAGACTGTGATAGTAAGGTTAGGTGTAAGTGTAGGTTAATGAGGATAAGGCTCCCTTTACAGAACCTGCATTTATAAATAACCTCCCTTTATAAACCTGGGTCAGTTAGAACCAGCCTCACTCTGCACTTCCGCAGAGATGCAGTGACTTGCTCGTCTTCATGCCAGCTCTCTCCCCCAGGTCTTTCGATGCATACTTTCCACGGAAACTTCTTTGTCCGCTCCACCGACCTACTGTCTCTTGCCAACATCAATCCTGATGCTGGGTTTGCAGTACAGCTGTCAATTGAAGAGAGTCTGACGGACACTTCCTTAGTGTGCTTTCAGACAGCCCTGCTCTACACATCCAGCAAAGGTGTGTTGTCGAAACTGGAGCGCCGTGTAGCCCTCTTTCCACCTCCTTTAGTAGAGAGAGAAAGAATGATATGCTGCGGCAGTAATGGCACTTGCAGGAGCGGATTTTTTAAAAATTTTATTTATTATATATACAGTGTCCTGTCTGCATGTGTCCCTGCAGGCCAGAAGAGGGCACCAGATCTCATCATAGATGATTGTGAGCCACCATGTGGTTGCTGGGAATTGAACTCAGGACCTCTGGAAGAGCAGTCAGTGCTCTTAACCTCTGAGCCATGTCTCCAACCCGTTGAATTTTTAAATAACACACCTTAAGATGGATTTATTACTGTTTATGTGTGCGTGCATGTGTGAGTTTATGTGCAGCACATGCAAACAGAAGCTCATGGGAGCCAAGAGAGGGTGTTGGATCTTCTGGACCTAGAGTTACTAGTGGTTGTGAGCCAATATATAGATGCTGGGACTCAAACCCAGGTCCCCTGCAAAAACAGCAACCACCTTTAACCACTGAGCCATCTCTCCAGCCCCAAATAACACACTTAAAAATATTTTATCACATTTATTTATTAATTCTGTGTGTGTACACTCATAGGCAGACATGCCACAGTGTGCATGGGGAGGTCAGATGACAAATTACAGAATCAGTTCTTCCTTTCACAAGTCAGTCCCAGGGCTCAAACACAGGTCTTCAGGCTTGATGGCAAGTGCCTACACCTGCTGAGCCATTCCTCTGGCCATGTGATTTTCTTAATTTATGGAAAATTCATATTTAGCATCTTAGGTTTTTGGCAAGCACAGTGACTAACTCTGCCGTCCTCTGCATTGGTGCTCTGTAAAATAAAGAACTGCAGTAAGGGAGACCTTCATTTCTTCCTTGACAGTCTAGGTGTTTGATGTTTTACTTGCTTGAGTATAATTTAGAACAATATTGAAGGTAAACTGGAAACTGGAGAGGTGGCTTAGCAGTTACAGCATTTGCTGCCTCCACAGGCTGGGTTCGTTCACAGCGTCCACATAGAGCAGATCACATCTGCCCCTTTCTCTAGCTCTAGGGGATCCAGCCCCGTTTTTTGCCCTCTGGGTACATGCACACTTACATGTATAGGTATACATTTATTATAATTACAAATAAAATCTTTGAAAACGAACAAACCAACCAGAAATTAACATTCAACTGCATGTAAGATATATATGTTCATAGTTTACAGGGTTGGAGAATTTTCTTAAGAGACATTTATTTTATGTGAGTGGATATCTTCTCTGTATATATGGATGTGCACCGTGTGCATGCTTGGTGCCTGTGGAGGCCAGGAGAGAGCATAGATTTCCCAGAATTACAGACAGTTGTGAGCTGCCATATGGGTGCTGGGAACTGTGCCTCGGTCCTCTGAAAGAGCAGCAAGTGTTCTTATCCTCTGTCCAGTCTCTGGGGAATATTGTGTTTGAAACATGCTAACTAGACTGGGGTGCAGCTCAGTGCTACAGAGGGCCTAGCATTTGTGAGGACCTGGCTTTAATCCCTAGCATGCAAAAAAATAAAAATAAAAGTAAGCCACTCAAAACATATTAATTATAAAGCCTTTTCTATTTCCGAATGTTGTTGATGATTTAGTCCAGCAGAACAGTAATCGGAGTGAAATTGTGATCTGGGTACTCTCTTCTTAGCCCCGTGTGCAGTAATGACGTGTTCCATTCATTAGGTGAGCGGAGAATCAGAGTGCATACACTCTGCTTGCCGGTGGTAAGTTCTCTCGCCGATGTGTACGCAGGAGTGGATGTGCAAGCTGCCATCTGCCTTCTGGCCAACATGGGTGAGTAACACGGAAGAGCAGGTGAAATACCTGTTTCTAACCTTACAACCATGGGCTTTTCTACTTTTTTTTTTTAAACTTTAGAAATCCCTCAATTAATTAAAACCTTTTAATACATTTTTATGTATTACAGGATGAATTATGCTGTTCTTACATTTTAAAAATAATTCCTAGTTTAAAATCTCCTAGGGGGGTTGTGATTTGTCAAAACCAGGATCTCCTTCAACTAACGTGTAAACCGTGCCACATCCACGCATGGAGCACGGCTCAGCAGTGAACAGGAAGGGGCTGTCAGACAGGTGGTGTGACTTCCAAAGGCTTTATGCTAGGGGACACAAGGTCTGTCCACATGAAAGTCCCACTTACATGACTTTAGCAAAAGGAAAATTTACACGAAGGATAATAGATTGGGGGCAGAGAGAGACCTTCACTGCAAAGGAGCCCCACGGGGAGTAATTTGGGGTGATGAAACTGCCGTGGATCTTTAGTGTGGTGGTGGTGGCAATTCTGCATTTGATGGCTAACTGCCATAGAACTACACTCAGAAAAGTACATTTTACTCTACACTTACAGAAGCCTTCAGTAATTAATACATTCCTGAGGTTTGGCTTTGAGTCTCTTTTTATGAATAAACAAATGTGCAGTGAGCCTTGCTGTTTCCTACATCACTGGAGAAAGCAGCCATTATGACTAACTTGGAGCAAAATTATGATAGCATTTACTGAAAGACCTCCTTTCCACACCTCATTTGGCAGTATTAGGAATTGAACCAAAGATAGAAGGAGTGTGGCATTGATCCATACTCCTCCTCCAGGGTTTTAGTATGTAGAAGTGTGTGTGTGTGTGTGTGTGTGTGTGTGTGTGTGTGTGTGTGTGTGTGTGTGTGTGTCCGTCCTGTCTGAGAGAAGAGAGCACTTACTGGGATCTGGTGGCTGAGTTCCCTCTCACTCTGCAGCTGTGGATCGCTCGGTGTCATCAAGCTTGTCGGACGCCAGGGATGCCTTGGTGAATGCTGTGGTGGACCCCCTGTCCGCCTATAGCTCGGCGGTGTCGAGTGTGCCACGCTCCACCCTAACAGCACCAAGCTCACTCAAGCTGCTCCCGCTCTATGTTTTGGCGCTTCTCAAACAGGTAGTTCTCTATATGTCATAGCTCATCAGTTTCTTACAAGCTCTCAGGTGGATGAAGGAGTGAAATCTGTATTGTTTTTAGTAGTTAGCTAGAGAGTTAGGTGCTTTGGTGTTGTAAGACTTCTGAAAATGGGGGAATGGGTGGAATATGGAGGTGTGCAGATGCACCATGACTCTTCTCAAAACATGTCTTTTTCCTTTGTGTGAGCAGTTTGAATTACGAAATGGCCACATATGCTTCTGGAAGAGACTCTCAGCTAAGGACTAGCACTTACTGAGTGTCTTTCCATCATTTCATCGTGTTAAAGGCATATTTGCATCATCTTAGTTCAGAGAAACTGATTTACTTCCTTGCCTATTAAATATTGGCTGAGCCTTGAATCCCCACAGCTGGGTTTGCTGTTTACGTGCTGCATGTATGTTTCAATTGGAACATGTGTCTTTTTTCCTTGCAGAAAGCATTTAGAACAGGTACAAGCACACGCCTGGATGATCGTGTGTATGCCATGTGCCAGATGAAGTCTCAGCCACTTGTTCATCTAATGAAAATGATTCATCCCAACTTATATAGGATAGACAGACTGACAGATGAGGTATGCATTTGTCCTGACCTTCTGCCCAAGGTGCTAAGGTCTTTTCAGTAGCTCTTCCATTCTTTTCTTCCCTGTGGTGGTGAACATTGGAATAATAAAGACTTCTAGGGACCTAGGTACACAATGGGACTTGAGGATGCTATCAGCTGGTGGGTAGAGCTTTTAAAAATAGTTTCCTGTGGGAAGTTCAGTTTTAATGTTTGATTCAAAGATAAGTTACAGAGTGATGTCTGTTTGTATTTTGTAGCTATTGGCAGTTTGGGATATGACCAGACTGCAATTTTGGTTACATAGTAAACCAGGTCCGTTACCCAATAAGACTTGTAATATACAACTGTATAGTGTCTTTTTTCGTCCTTGTGTTCAAACTGTATTCTCTGGGGTTAGTATTCATTGCATACATAGTATTATGTTGTAAGAGGAATGTAAACCGTGGCAGTCAGCTGTCGTAGTATTGATACACACTGACCTTGGAAGGGAGGTAAATGAAACAGATAGTCCATTTTACATCTTCACTTTTAATTTGAGTACATTTGAATGTGTTCATTCTACTGTAAAACCATGGTGTACAGCAGTGTGTTTTCATTCTCTAAAATGTGTCATAGATTAGTGTTTCATAGAAGTGACTGATTCCTAAAGTCCTAGACAGCAATTACATATGACTCGCTGGATCCTGCCTTTTCTTTTCAGGGCGCCATCCATGTTAATGACAGGATCGTGCCTCAGCCGTCACTTCAGAAACTGTCTGCGGAGAAGCTGACCAGAGAGGGAGCTTTCCTCATGGACTGTGGCTCGGTAAGCATCCCTGCTGGCAAAGCTGCTGCTCTGACTGGCGGAGGACACACACGGGCTAGCCCTGGCTTCACCCAGCAGACAGGGCACGAGGAACCCGGGACTGACGCAGGAGCTCAGCTTACTGTAGACCCTACAGGTGGACTTCAGTATAAGTTAGCACATTGTCCAGCTACATGTACTCAGAAAAGAAATGCCTGCCATCAAGAGCTTTACCATCAGAACCATCGAATTCAAATGGACCTCAAGAAGTTCTCTTGTGGTTCAGCTTCTATCCACTGCCAGGAATTCTACTGATGGTTGGGGGTTAGAGAAGTCACTCAGTGCTCAGGAATGGCGGAAGGAGTGACCAGCGGTCCAGACAAGTGTAGACAGCCGCAGAACTCAGGAGTTGAAATAGAGATAGTAATTGAAATTGGAAGCCAAGGAATACCACAAAGTCACACCACACAGCAAACTGCACACAAGAGATTTATTGGGAGGGAAAAGAACAGGAGGCTGGCTGCCTCTGCTGGATCGAGAGACAGCAGCGAACTGAACAGGATAGAGGCTTACATAGAGTTTCTCGAGAAGGAGGTGGGACTTTTCAGGGTGGAGCTTTCCAGGGTAGAGATTGGTAGGATCTCAGGTCCAGAGAGTGGGCTTTTGACTCTGTAGGATGAGGGCAGGGTCCAGCAGTTAGGGCAGTGAGAGGTCCTCGGGAAAGGGGCCTGGCTACCCAGTGTGCCTCGGAGGCTTCCTAGTAGGGGTCAGATGTTCTTATTAAAGCAGTACATTCCTGTTAGGGAAATAAGTGCAGGGGCTGGGAAGATGATGGCTCACTGGGTAAGAGCACTTACCAGAAGACCCTGGCTTGGTTCCCAGCACCCAAACATGGCAGCTCACAACCATCTGTCACTCCAGCTCCCAGAGCTCTGACATCCACCTCTGGCTTCTGTAGACACTGCACACAAGAGGTATACATACATGCACATAGGCAAAATACTAATACACATAGAAAAAAAGTTTTTTAAAGTTCTCATTTTCTGTGCATGAGTATTTTGCCTGCATGTATGCACCATATGCATGCCTGGTGCCTGAGAAGGTCAGAAGAGAACACTGGATCTCCCTGGAGCTGGAGTTATGGATGGCTGTGAAACCACCATGTGGATGCTGGGCACCAGACCCGGGTTATCTGCAAGACTGACAGATCCACTGAGCATCTCTCCACCCCCTAAATAAAGAAGCCTTAAATAGTCTTAGAAGCCTTGAAATTTAAGCAAAGAAGATAGAAAGTGCTTTTGATTCTTAGAACTAGGTTTACAATGTTCTAGTTATATATCCCCTTTTATGTTTGTTAGATTTTGTGTCTGAGACAGCATAAATGACCTCTTTTATGTATGATAACTGAATTAGTTCAATTGGATTTTCTATTAGGGAATTTAATATTTTGTTGCACCCCTCCCCCCCTTTTATTTTTTAGGTTTTTTACATTTGGATTGGCAAAGGCTGTGACAATAACTTTATAGAGAATGTGCTTGGGTACCCTGATTTTGCAGCAATACCACCAAAAATGGTCAGTAGATTTTTCTTGTGTTACTTTTCTGGAGGAGAGGTAAATGTCTGTTTACTCCAGATAGGACACTGATGACAGGCAGAAGTAACAGCTCCATGCAAGCCAGTTTGGTGAACAGGGAATTTATTGAGGCTCCTTAGGAACATGGGTGAGGGACTGCAGACAAAGGTGTGGGTGACCCTGCACAGCTGCATCACTGAGGTCCCCTGTCATGGATGACAACCTTAGGAAAGCTTACTCATGGAACCCCTTCAGTTAACCTGCCTCTTATATTCTCCAGCAGGGGACTGGGTGGAATCCCGGGTGAGGGCGTGGGTGCCCTTCCTGCCCTGAGGAAATGCTAACAGACTCACTGGTGTTAGCGTAGACCTAACTTGCCATTGTACTGTTCCACCTGTTTAGTTTCCATGAGACCAAGGTTCTCTCTCCTCATTGATGGAGACGGAATGATCAGAGCGGATGTTAGTTAAGACTGAGGAAGTAACTTTATGTCAACAGTTTTTGCAGTATTAAGTTTTATCTTTTATATATTTGTATGTTTTCTTTCAATATAAACTTTGTGTGATGTTTGCCTTTTTTTCTTCACCCCCACTTTTTCAAACTGGGTTTCCCTGTGTAGTCTTGGCTAACTTGGGACTCACTCTGTAGACTAGGTTAGCCCCAGGTTGACAGTCCCTCTTCCTGTGTGCTAGGATTATAGGTGTGTGTGCGCTGTGGCCATTTGGCTTAGTTTACCAGTTATATTCACAGTGTCGTACATACATACATAGAGGCAAAACACTCACACATAAATAAATAAACTAATTAATTAAAAAGTTCCCTCCGTGGGCCGGACTGGAAAGAGAAAATGTTTCCTTAGTTTATGGGTATGGGTGTTTGGCCTGTGTGTATGTCGGTGTACCATGTGCATGCCTGCCTGGTGCCCACGGAGACCAGAAGAGGGTGTTGGATCAGCTGGGAGTGGAGTTCCAGACAATTGTAAGCACCATTTGGGTGCTAGGAATTGAACCTGGATACTCTGGAAGAGCAGGGAGTACTCTTAACCACTGAGTCATCTCTCCAGCCTCCCAAAATAAGTAAATCTTTATAAATTTAAAAAAAAAAAATCAAAGAAAGATGAAATTCTCAGAATGTGATTTTCAAGTAAGTTCTGTGTAATTTTAAGGTGGATTTGGAGTTTAGTGATAGCCCTCTTCGTTTATATATTCTCCCTGGAGGAAACGGGAAGTTGAAGGGCACCCGTGCACACCAGCTAATGTGTGTGCTTTACTGGATTGTCTAGAACAGTACAGTAGCCAGGTAAAATATCGTGGATATACTCCAAACTCACTAGCAAACACACTTTTTTTTTCTTCTCCAACTAAAATTTCCTCCCTGTGGTTGCTACTGTTGGGTCTAGGGGCAGAATGCAGGCTTGTGATTGGCTGCCTGGAAGCCCCAGTGTCTATTTACCAGTTGGCAAAGGTTTTTAAAACTTAAGAGAACCAGTTGGAGATCACATGCTGTATGATGCAGTATATTATTTTACTCCAAAAAATGGTACATTGTGGATGTATTCCGGGAAATCCGTGTGTGTGTGTGTGTGTATATATATATATATATATATATACACACACACACACACACACACACACACATATATATATATATATATATATATATATATACATGCTTATAGGGTTAACTGCTGTTGTTGTTACAACTGTTCTGTTGCATTTACTAAAAGGAATGCGGCCTGGAGAGGGAAGGTGTGTTCAATGTTAGTGTATATTTGTGTTTTCTAATTATATTTCTTTTACCAGACACATCTTCCAGAGCTAGACACGCTTTCATCCGAGAGAACTAGATCCTTTATAACCTGGCTTAGAGACAGCCGACCGCTAAGCCCTGTCCTTCACCTGGTAAAGTAAGTCTTCTGTAATTTCATGATGATGTCGTCTTTCCTATGCTTCTCCTCAAATTTCAGGACTTTGTAGTGGTGGGCGTGTGACTTGATTAACCTCTCCTGGGTTTCGTTTTCCTGGAGTCCACATAGTTGTATTTCTACAATGTGGATTTATTCTTTGTAACGATATAATACATTTTGGGTAAATGTTGTTCTCTGCCTTTCAGAGATGAGAGTCCCGCAAAAACGGACTTTTTCCAGCATTTGATTGAAGACCGCACAGAGGCTGCATTCTCTTACTACGAGTTTCTGATTCACATTCAGCAGCAGATTTGTAAGTGAAGTCCACCAGAGTGAGTCAGCGTGGACCACTCCACAGCCGGGTAAAGCACGATCCATCAGAGAAGCACAGGAGACTTGACACGAGGTGGTGTTGGAAGGCACAATGCCCATCACTGTGTCTGCGGCTTGGGCCAGAGATAGAGGGAAGAGGGGGTGAGAGTCCCTCCAGGGAATGCTGCTCACCCAGCGTGCCGAGTCGGTTCTACGCATTTGCAGGAGCGCAGCAGTACAGTGCTCTTCTGAGCCGGCAGACTCCAGGACTGTGGAATGACATGTCACAATCTCAACTAGATAAAGTCGTCTTCTACAATTAACATAACATTTCTGGACTTGAGCTCGGATGAGAGATGCCACAGGGCAGTGGTACTGTGTCACTCGTTTGTATGAATTACTTTTTAACAGGAATGATTCATGTTCATGAAATGAATTCAACATTTCCCTGTAAAGGCACTAGACTTTCAGTCCATGAACTATAGGAAAAATATATATAATGTACATAAGTGTTACATTTGTAAAGAGAATGTAAATGTAACTAAGAATATGAATTGCTAAACTGCGGCATTGTTGGATGACACTCTTTGTCACAGTTAGGGAATGAGGTTGACTAATGCATATTATGAATTCAATCCACAAAAGAAACACGAAACTATTTGTAATTCTGTTAAATCTTTTATGTGGCTTTATTTATGATCAGCCTACTAATTAAAAATATTTTGCTTGACAGTTGGTTTGGTGGTTTGTTTATTTGATTGTTTTGTGGAGGGTTTTTGTTTTGAGTGAGGATTGGTGATGTTTTTTAAACAGTGGGAATCTTGAATTGACTGATTGGAGAAGATGCAATACCAAGTTGCATTCATCAGTGAATCTATACATCATCATTAGTTTGTACATACTACCAAGTGACTACTGTTTGTATTCTAAAACATGATGCTATTTTCAAAATGCTTAATGACTGAACATAATCTTACCTCATTTAAATTAAGGATTTTTTTTTCCTACCAATTTGTAAAGAGAAAATTTTATGAACATGTGGCTTTCCTTTTTAATCATATTGAAGATCATATTGAACTCAGAGAGATTTTTGTTCTGATCAAACTCTGTCGTTCACAGTACGTTATTTGCTATAAAAACTGATGGTGATCCATTGGATTGTGGAGTGGAATTTTATTTTATGCACTGTGAAAGTCCTTGTTGGTAAATGTTAGGAAAAAAAAATAAGGCTCTTGCCGGGCGGTGGTGGCGCATGCCTTTAATCCCAGCACTCGGGAGGCAGAGCCAGGCGGATCTCTGTGAGTTCGAGGCCAGCCTGGGCTACCAAGTGAGTTCCAGGAAAGGCGCAAAGCTACACAGAGAAACCTTGTCTCGAAAAACCAAAAAAAAAAAAAAAAAAAAAAAAAAAAAAAAAATAAGGCTCTTGGCATGTGTGACTTTTACTGGTTTTATAACTTTGTAGATTCCTTTTCTTTCTGTTTTTTCAGAGCAAAATGTTTTTGTTTTGGTACTGGTTGGGGGCATAGAAGGAAAGTAACGTAGACTCTGAAGAGGTGGCTTCGGAAGAGAAGTGGTGGTCTGGAGACGTGATGATCTGGAGAAGTGGTGATCTGGAGAAGTGGTGGTCTGGAGAAGTGGCTTCTGAAGACAGTTGGCAGCAGTGGTGGTCTGGAGAAGTGGTGGTCTGGAGAAGTGATGATCTGGAGAAGTGGTGGTCTGGAGCAGTGATGATCTGGAGAAGTGGTGATCTGGAGAAGTGGTGATCTGGAGAAGTGGTGGTCTGGAGAAGTGGTGGTCTGGAGAAGTGGCTTCTGAAGACAGTTGGCAGCAGTGGTGGTCTGGAGAAGTGGTCTGGAGAAGTGGCTTCTGAAGACAGTTGGCAGCAGTGGTGGTCTGGAGAAGTGGTCTGGAGAAGTGGCTTCTGAAGACAGTTGGCAGCAGTGGTGGTCTGGAGAAGTGGTCTGGAGAAGTGGCTTCTGAAGACAGTTGGCAGCAGTGGTGGTCTGGAGAATCTAGCTCAAGCAGTTGCACACTTTGGCATAGTCCCTGGCCTTCTCTCTCCTACCAGAGCATAATCCCAGGAGACAGCACCCTGGGGTTCCTGCTTTTCTTTAGATAAAGATAAAAGCACTCTCCCATCCCCTGATGGAAATGAGTTTAAATGACTCACACTAATTGGTGGCAGAGCTGTAATAAAAACCAAGTGTTCTCCCCACCCACAGCCCCCACGGGACTCTGTCTCTGCACCCTGCTGTCACCACCCAGGAGCTTACTGCAGGTCCCTAAGGGCAACTAAACACTGTCAGTCCGTTATTTATCGTGTGTGTGTGTGTGTGTGTGTGTGTGTGTGAATGGGAACAAGTGTGGAGGGTCAGGACACTGGAAGTTAATTATCTCATCTACCTGGCCTTCATGCTGTCGTGGGAAGCTTTCATGGATCTGCTGAGCCATCTTACTGGTCTAATACTGTCATTGTAGAACAAAAATGTGGTATTTCTACTTGAAGAGTGTTTTATCTTTGTGAACTCTTTTATTTATTTTAAAAATTACTAAATCGCTTAACATAGCACAAGGCAAAAAACAAAACAAGAAACCCTGTAACCACAGTTCTCAACCTGTGGGTAGCGACCCCTGTGGGGGTTGAGTGACCCTTTCACAGGGGTTGCATATCAGATATTCTGCATGTCAGGTATTTACATTATGATTCATAACAGTAGCAAAACAGTGATGAAGTAGCAATGAAAATAATTTTAAAGGGGGTCAGAAGATCAGCAGAGAAGTAGGGAAGTGCCTGGTACCTCCAGAAGAGTGAGGCTGCCCTGACTGTTGGTATGTAGCGCATCTGACAGGCAGGACTGTGTCTGGTGGGCACACCTGCAATCCTAGGATCAGGCAGGACCAGGAGTGCAAGGCTGTCCTTGTCCACAGAGTGAGACCCTGTCTTTAAAACGGGATACACGGAAGGACTCATTTAAACTACAGGAACATTAAACTACAGGAACACAAAATGGGTGACAGAGTGGACCTAGTGTTTGCAGATCCCAATGCGGTCCAAGGCCTGGTGGGCTATCCATACAGAAGGAATGCGTGGTCAGGATACAGGAGTCAGGTTTGAGTTTGGGATGGGGTCAAGTCATTGTCACAGGAAGAGTGATGACTCAGTGGTCAGGAGCACCTACAAGGGGTGGCTTGCAGCCCCTGCAATTTCAGTTCTAGGAGAAACTTGCTGTCCTCCAGCCTCCGGGGCACTGGATGCATGTGGTGCAGGTACAGACAAGCAGGCACACATTTTTAATGTCCATGTCAAGACTATCTGGGAGTAAACACTTGTGTAGTTGGTTGTTTTTACTCTTTGCTTTTTTGGGGGGCCGACCACCCAGCTCCCAAGTAAATTCAGAGACTTAGTTATGAATGTCCAGCCTTAGCTTGACTTATTTCTAGCCAGCTTTTCTTAAATATACCATCTACCTTTTGCCTCTGGGCTTTTTCCTTTTCTTACTTTCACTCTTACTCTGTGGCTGGCTGGCTGCCCCCTAGCTTTCTTTCTCCTTGTTTCTTGCTCCTCCATCTCTCCTCCCAGACTCTTATTTATTCTCTCTGCCTGCCAGCCCCGTCTATCTTTTCTCCTGCCTTGCTATTGATCATTCAGCTCTTTTTTTTTTTTAAAGATTTAGCTATTTATTATATATACATATGCTCATTACAGATGGTTGAGAGCCACCATGTGGGTGCTGGGAATTGAACTCAGGACCTCTGGAAGAACAGTCAGTGCTCTTAACCATTGAGCCATCTCTCCAGCCCCATTCAGCTCTTTATTAGACCGATCAGGTGTTTAGACAGGCAAAGTAGCACAGCTTCACAGAGTTAAACAAATCCAACATAAAAAATGCAACCCATCTTTGCATCATTAAACAAATATTCCACAGCATAAACAAATGTAACACATCTTAAAATAATACTCTACAACACACTTGGGATATTATTAAAGATAGCTAGAGGAGGGAGTCAGGATAGAAAGCTCCAGGCTTAAACTGGATCCTCTGGTAATTATGAAAGTGTCCCTAAAGTGACAAGTAAAGGACTGCAAGTGACAGGGTATGATGCCGAGTAGCATGAGCTTGGGGAACCTGTAACAAAGAGGAAAAATAATCTGGGCTCCTACAGATGAGGAGGAATTCACAGGGATGAGAACCCAAACCACACATTCTATGTATACATTTTAGAGGTTTTTAATTTATTTATAAGAACAACATTACACCATTTGTAAAAAGATAACTGGAATAAAAAATCATCTTGTTAAGCCAGACTCAGACAAATACCAGCTCTTTCTTCCTGTGTGTGTGTGTGTGTTGTGTGTGTGTTTTAAAAAAATGGCCATGGGCCGGGCGGTGGTGGCGCACGCCTTTAATCCCAGCACTCAGGAGGCAGAGCCAGGCGGATCTCTGTGAGTTCGAGGCCAGTCTGGGCTACCAAGTGAGTTCCAGGAGAGGCGCAAAGCTACACAGAGAAACCCTGTCTCGAAAAACCAAAAAAAAAAAAAAAAAAAAAAATGGCCATGAGGACTGCTGTAGGTTGTACCCAGTATATCTGGGAGTAAATACTTGGGATGTTATCAAAGATAGCTAGAGAGGAGGAGGAGATTATATATAAATATATGTGTGTATATATGTTATATATAATAGTCAATACACAAATGTATGCATAAATATGCATGTATGAAGCATGATAGCAGAAGGGAAACTATTAGGGGAGAAGAGGGTCAAGAGAGGGTAATGGAGAATGAATATAATTCAAAGTCCATGATATTCTTGATCAAAATGTCATTCATTATAAAACCAATCACTTTGTATGACACGTGTGTACTAGTTCTTTTAATATTTAACTTTAGGTGTATGGTTTTGCCTGCATGTATGTCTGCACCATGTGTGTGCAGTCCCCACAGAGGCTAGAAGAAGGCACCACATTCTGTGATCTGGGGTTGTAGGCAGTTGTTCACCGCTATGTAGGTGCTGGGAGAACAATTCTGGGCCCACTGCAAGAGCAGCAAGTGCTCTCCACCACAGAACCATCTCTCCAGTCTACCTAATAACTTTAAAATACCTTTCCTTGGCTAGAAAGATGGCTCAGCGGGTAAGGGTACTTGTCACCGAGCCTGGTGATCTGAGTTTTGTCCTTGGGATCCACATGGTGGAAGGAGAAGACAGGTTTTCTCAAGTTGTCCTCTGGCCTTCATACAGTTGCTCTGGCATGTGTGATGGCCCACCACTGCCAAGTATGTATGTGTGTGTGTGTGTGCCTAAAAAATTAAGTATGTCCAATTCAGAATGACAAGGGACGTCATCCCTCAGAAGATGGATGTCAGTAAGAGCATGGGGTGAGTGTGTTAGAATGTACATGTGAGGACACTTATTGTGATGGTCTCAGGGGACAAGACTGGCCAATTACTGGCCAATTGCTTTGTGAGACACCAACTGTTGGGTGAGCAAAGGGCATGCTTACCAGGAGCTCTCTTTTCTATCGAAGCTGTCTAGGTTCCAAAGCCCGGTGTGTAGCTGTAATCCCAGTGCTTGGGACATGGAGACAAGAAAATTAAGAGTTCAAGGTTATCCTCAGTGACATGGTAAATTCTGAGCTAGCCTGGGCTACATAATACCATCCCTCCAAAAAAATAAAATAAAAGGAAAGAAGACAAGACACTGATCTTAGGCTGGGGATCAGAATAAAATTCCAGG